GAGGCATAGTAGTTAGTCCTAGCCTCCCTCAGCGCCACTAGGTAAGATCTAAGATGTATCTTTACCTGTGTTCGAGCGGATTCGGTTCGGCTGGTCCTCCAACTGCTCTCTAGGCGTCTTTTCCGACGTTTCATCTCTCTCAGCCCCTCGGTAAACCAAGGGGATGGTCGAGATCCACGTCGGGTCAGAGGCCGCAAAGCTAAGAGATACTTTAATTTGGATTTCTGCATCGACTAGCGAGTTGATCTTTACAGCTAAATGGCCCTTTCCAATTCTACAATTGTAACTGCTCTGAGATCCTTGAAACCATGTTGGGCCATAAATATTTCAACCGAATAAATTAGAATTCCACAAGAGCGGAATCTAAAACACGCCTCTGCGTAGGCATCGGGTCTTTGGTAAGAACAAAAGCTCCATAAAATCCACAGTGAGTTCCTTGGAGAGAGGCTGAGATAAAATTTCAGCTGACAAGAATCCCTGGGAGAAATGATTTAAGGAGCCTGCCATTCAGGGCCAGCCTTTCAAAGGCTCAGCTCTGGACAAACGTTTGTAGGAACTGAGGCTTTTTCCAAGCGGTTCGGGCAAATTCAAGGCTGAGCAATCGTTGGCATTCCACTTGAGTGGGTCCGCCTAAATCTGATTGTGCGGCAAAGACTTCGCTCTGGATGAAGCTGGACGGTGTATTTTCCAGAGGGTGAAAAAAAATTAATATTAAACACTTCTATGGTAAACAGAGCAGTAAAAAGGAATAGGTTCTGGAGAAAGAAAGAAAGAAAGAAAGAAAGAAAGAAAGAAAGAAAGAAAGAAAGAAAGAAAGAAAGAAAGAAAGAAAGAAAGAAAGAAAGAAAGAAAGAAAGAAAGAAAGAAAGAAAGAAAGAAAGAAAGAAAGAAAGAAAGAAAGAAAGAGAAAGAAAGAGAAAGAAAGAAAGAAAGAAAGAAAGAAAAAAGAAAGAAAGAAGATGGACAGAATGAAAGGGAGAGAGGCAGGAAGAGAGGAAGGAAGGGACAGAAAATGAAAGGGAGAGAGGGAGGAAGGGAAAAGACAGAGAAAAGGAAAAGACAGGAAGGAAGGAAGAAAGAAAGAAAGAAAGAAGAAAAAGAAAGAAAGGAAGGGAGGGAGAAGAAAGAGAAAAGGAAGAAAGAAAAAAGAAAGGGAAAGAAAAAAGGGGAAAAGAAAGGAAGGAAGAAAGAAAAGACGGACAGAGAATGAAAGGGAGAGAGGCAGGAAGAGAGGAAGGAAGGAAGGAAGGAAGGAAGGAAGGAAGGAAGGAAGGGACAGAAAATGAAAGGGAGAGAGGGAGGAAGGGAAAAGACAGAAAAAAGAAGGAAAAGACAAGAAGAAAGGAAGGAAGGAAGGAAGGAAGGAAGGAAAGAAAAAGAAAGAAAGGAAGGGAGAAAGAAAGAGAAAAGGGATAAAGAAAAAAGAAAGGGAAAGAAAAAAGGGGGAAAGAAAGGAAGAAAGAAAGAAAGGAAAAGGAAAAAGAAAGAAAAAAGAAAGGGAAGAGAGAAAGGGAAGATGGAGAGAGAGGAGGAGGAAGGGAAGGAGAGAAAGGAAAGGAAGCAAAAAGAAGAAAAGAAAGAAAGACACACACAATTAGTTTGTGAACCCTTGTCGTCTTTGTATGGAATAGCTGACGCGTTTTTAAAAAATGACGATCACTCCAAGAGGAACAGACAGATTTAATACCAGGTCATTTCATGCTGGATAGTCCAACTGGCTGGGTTCTTGGCCAACAGGAGATGGATGTCAAACCAACTGCAGACTTAGCCGTTAATAACATAGGGCCTTGGTCATGGCAGCTGGAATCACAATTATTAAAGAAATCCAAATCCAGGTTTCTAGCCCTCATGTTTAAGAAAAGACTCAAAAGCATTCCATACGACACCCTCACTAATTTGGTCAAGGTTATGCCTTCTGGGCAGCATATAAAAGGGAGCAAAACAGCCGGGTCCCTGACAGAGAAGCATTGATGACAAGCTGTTTATAAAACAGGTTGTCGCACAAACGCTGATCTTCAGCGAACGGCTTAGACTTAAAATCTGGGGGGGAAAATAACCCAGAGCAACAATAAGAATTAGATAAATGGTGGGAGCCGAGATCTACTTTTCCAACTAACACTGAGTTATAAAGGAAGATAAGAAACAGAGCTTACAACATACCATCATTCATCGAGTGACTGTCTGAAGTTACAACAGCATTGAAAAAAGTGGCTTGATGATGGCTTTTCACACTTATGACCGCTGCAGCATCCCCAGGATCACAACTGACTCATACTTATAACTATTGCCGTGTCCTGGTGGATCACGTGATCCCCTTTTGCAACCTTCTGACAAGGAAAGTCAAGGGGGGGGGGGAAACCAGATTTCCTTAAGTTAAGTTAGGTCACTAACTTAGCCACGGTAGCGATTCACTTAACAACAATGGCAGGAAAGGTTGCGAAAGGGAGTGAAACCCACTTAACAACTGTCTCGCTGTGCGACAGAATTTTTTTAGGCTCCATCGCGGTCGTTAAAAGCCGCAGAATCCTTTGTTTCCCGGGTCCCCGAGGCCTCCTTGCGATCTGTACGATCCTCATATTCACTTTTTTTTGTGTGAAAAAAAAATGGGTGCCAACTCACCGTCTTGGTTTTTAGCAAAGTTCAACTTGATGAGCGATTTGGCCTCGAGCTTCTGCGGAGACAAAACACACACAACAATTAGTCACCCACTTTGCCGTGGACTTCAGTCGAAGCACCCCCCAAAAGGGGGAAAAAAAACCAAAATAAAAGTTGTGATATTCTAGAAGAGAGTGACTCAGACTCCAACACTGTGCTTTCACACAGGCTTGCAAAAGAGAACGCCGTGAACGCAATCGGACTGATTCCTGGTTGTGAGAATGTAGCCGAACCTCCCATGCTGGCTGGGCAATTCTGGGAACGGAAATCCATTCATCTTAAACTTGCTACGGTCGAGAAACACTGCATTAGAGATTACAACACCTTTGGAATCAAAGGTGAACACCTTTCTCCTCCTATTGTCCCCCACAACAACCTTGTGAAGTTGGGGAGAGTAACTGGCCCAAAGTCACGCAGCCGGCTTGCACGCCTAAGGCGGGACTAGAACTCACCGTCTCCTGGTGATTGGCCCAAAGTCACGCAGTTGGCTTTCATGCCTAAGGCGGGACTAGAACTCACCGTCTCCTGGTGATTGGCCCAAAGTCACGCAGCCGGCTTTCATGCCTAAGGCGGGACTAGAACTCACCGTCTCCTGGTGATTGGCCCAAAGTCACCCAGTTGGCTTTCACGCCTAAGGCGGGACTAGAACTCACTGTCTCCTGGTGATTGGCCCAAAGTCACCCAGTTGGCTTGCATGCCTGAGGCGGGACTAGAACTCACCGTCTCCTGGTGATTGGCCCAAAGTCACCCAGTTGGCTTGCATGCCGGAGGCAGGACTAGAACTCACTGTCTCCTGGTGACTGGCCCAAAGTCACCCAGTTGGCTTTCATGCCTGAGGCGGGACTAGAACTCACTGTCTCCTGGTGACTGGCCCAAAGTCATCCAGCCATCTTTCATACCTAAGACGGGACTAGAACTCACCATCTCCTGGTGATTGTGTGAATCTTCTATTTAAGAGGAAGGTTATACCTGCTATAAGACATAGCCAGTATTGCAGGCAGATTCTGCCCACTGCTAGCAGTTCGATCCTGACCGGCTCAAAGTGACTCAGCCTAACATCCTTCCGAGGTCGGTAAAATGAGGACCCAGATTGTTGGGGGCAAGAGGCTGACTCTGTAAAGCGCTTAGAGAGGGCTGTAAAGCGGCATATAATCTAAATGCCATTGCTATTAAAATTATGGAAGGTGTGCCCATTACATCTACACCTATTTTGAACAAACCACATTAGAGTATCTGTTGAAATTAAATATAAGCAGGGTATCCAAGCTAGCGAAATCCAAAACAGTCATAATCTGACACCAGAACTAGGCAAAGGCTGCTAATAAAATAAACTAGAGCAGTGTTTGTCAAATGTGGCGATTTGAAGTATTGGGGACTTCAAGTTCCAGCATGCATGCTGGCTGGGGGATTCTGGGAGTTGAAGTCCACAGGTCTTCCAAGTTGTCAGGCTTGAGAAAGGCTGAACTACGGACTGTGCTTGCTACAAAAACTCTCCCTAAGTAGGGAAAGAGACATGCTATTAAGGGATTAAAAGTCAACCCGAGTTCAAAACTTGTCAGGGAAACCAATTTGGATTCTGAATAAGCCGTGCAACCCTCTAGCAAACATTTGATAGCCAGTTCAGCTGATCAAAAGCGACAACTGCAACAACAGTGTCTGCAGGAAAGTCACAAAGCAAGTTAGGGTTGAAACGAAGCTGATTTCATTTGCCCCCCCTAAAAGAATCACAGTTATTCTCTCCTTCATTTCTTGCCAGTTTTAAACTGGCTGGCTCAAATCCAAATCCTAATTTTATTTTTTAAAATCCCAGGTAATTGTTGCCCAGGTCTCTTTGTCATTCTACGTTTACTAGGTAGTCCTTGACTTACAACCACAAATGGAGCTTTCAGTGCAACTGTCATAAATATGAACCAGTTGCCAAGGGTCTGAATTTTGATCATGTGACTACGGGGGGCTGCAACGGCTGTAAGTGTGAAAAACAGTCGCAAGTCACTTTTTTCTGTGCCTGTGTAACTTTAAATGGTCATTAAATAGACTGTTGTAAGTCAAGGACTACGTGGAAAAGATTACGAATAAATTCTCTTCGTTTCTTACAAACCTTCCACCTTGCTTCGGAACAAGCCCGGCTGCGTGTAAAACTTTGCTCTCATTTTTCAAATCAGGAATTCTTTATATATATATATGTTTCTTTGGTCACCATCTGGCTTAATAGCTATTCCAGCTTCCCGTCTCGAGCGGAGAAGGAAAACAACAGGGAGAACGCCAACGAGAAGCAAAAGGACCCACGGCAGGAAATCAACAGATTTTTTTCTCTCCCCCCCCCAAGCCCGGAGAATTAATGGAAGATAGCAAAACAAAAAACCAAAAAATGAAAATGATCAACAGTAATGATTCAGCTCGGAGCCTTTTCACAACAGCAGAGTCCATATGGGATTGCTGTTCCATGCGGTCCTCGGAGCCATCTGTGAAACAACCCCCTCCCAACCCTCCCCCCCCCAGGGTAAATTGTGGTGGCCAAGTCACATTGGACCCAACAGCTGCTGGGAGCATTCCAGGATGCTGCAAGCTCGGGGGCTGTGGCCAACGACGTGGCAAGGCCTGGGCATGGAAGGAGGGATGTTGCCGATGCAAGCCCCGTGTTTCCAGCAGAAATTCAGTTCCTGGCAGAACAGAAGAGGAATGGCAGGTAGAGAATGGCTCCAGAGGACCAGATTGCAGAGATTGGTCTGTAGAAGAGGGGGTAGGTCAAAAGAGATATCGTCCTGCCTACACAGGTAGTTTAGGTTTTTTTATCTTATTTTCCTCCGTTATTTTTTTTACAAATAACTTAAGGCACGAACACCCTTTCTCCTCCTGTTTTCAGCCACTCTGTGAAGTGGGTTGGGCTGAGAAAGAGTAACCGGCCCAAAGTCACCCAGCTGGCTTTCCTGGCTAAGGTAGGACTAGAACTCACCGTCTCCTGGTGATTGGCCCAAAAGAAAGAGAAAGGAAAAGGAAGGAAAGAAAGCAGACAGATGGACAGAAAAAAAAGAAATAAAAGAGGAGAAAGAGAGGAAAGAAAGAATGAGAAAAGGAAGAAAAGGAAAAGAGAAAGGAAAACGAAGGAAGGAAGAGAGGAAAGAAAAGTAAAGAAAGGAAGAATGAAAAAAGACAAACAAATAAACAAAGAGGAAAAGAAAGGAAAGAGGACAGATGGACAAAAAAAGGAAGAAAAGAGGAGAAAGAAAGAGAAAAGGAAGAAAAAGAAAGAGAAAGGAAGAATGAGAAAGGGAAGAACAAGAGAAAAGAAAGAAAGAAAGAAAGAGAAAGAAAGAAAGAAAGAGGAAGAAAGGAAAAGGAAGGAAAAAAAGCAGACAGATGGACAGAAAAAAGAAAGAAAAGAGAAAGAAAGAAATGAGAGAAGAAAAAGAAATAAAAGAACGAGGAAAGGGAAGAAAGGAAGAATGACAAAAGGAAGAACAAGAAAGAAAGAAAGAAAGAAAGAAAGAGAAAAAAAGAGGGAGAAAAGAAAAGGAAGGAAAGAAAGCAGACAGATGGACAGAAAAAAGAAAGAAAAGAGGAGAAAGAAAGAAATGAGAGAAGAAAAAGAAATAAAAGAGGAGAAAGGGAAGAAAGGAAGAATGAGAAAAGGAAGAACGAGAGAGAAAGAAAAAGAAAGAAAGAAAGAGGAAGAAAGGAAAAGGAAGGAAAGAGACAGATGGACAGAAAAAAGAAAGAAAGAAAAGAGAAAGAAAGAAATGAGAGAAGAAAAAGAAATAAAACAACGAGGAGAAAGGGAAGAATGAGAAAAGGAAGAACGAGAGAGAATGAGAAAAAAAGAAAGAAAGAAGGAAAGAAAGAGAAAGAAAGAAAGAAAAAGAAAGAAAGAAAAAGAAAGAAAGAAAGAAAAAAGAAAGAGAAAGACACCCCCCCCACACACACACTTTTTAGGGCAGCTCTCTTCCGGCTTTTCTTCCAGGCTCCGGGTCCTCCCTGCCAGCTGAGCTACTTTTGGCGAAGTGACCTAGTTTGCCGCAATCCCAAACAAGTCAGCCTTGCAGGGTTTCTCCTTCCTGCTTGCCAGCTGACATCATTTTTCTCTTCCCGGGACCGAGGAGGGCTCCTCCTTCCCCGCCTAACACGAGCGGCCGGCCGCCGACTGTGTGGGTCACTAGGGCACTGGGGCAAATTCAAGAGGAAAGAAGACGAGAGAGGGAGATTAATGGCGCTCTTCCACGGCAGGCAGGCAAGAGGAGCAGGACGGGGGGGGGGGAAATCTAAGGCCCACGTTCTGCCGCTGCTTGCTTGCCAAGGTGCCCCCCCCCCGTCTCTTTGCTCCTACATCAGCTTGCACCACCAGGCTTTCTTAAGATATCTGTTAGAGCAGGGGGGTCTTCAAACTTGGCCCTTTGATGACTTGTGGACTTCAACTCCCAGAATTCCTCAGCCAGGCACGCCACTGTTTGAAGACCCCTGTGTTAGAGTTTAAAGGGGTCCTGATGTTAGGCATGGAGGAGGAGAAGCCATCCCCCTCCTCGACTGTTACGACAATCAAGCAGAGAAGTTAAAATATTGTTTAGGGAGACCCTGCTGCGCTCCTATCTTCCCCAAACTGGCACTTTCCCAGAATTTATAGCTGTCAAGATTGCTGGCTGCGCTGGCCTCAGTGTGACACCTCTGGGAGAGCCAGTGTGCTAAAATTAACCGGCTGAGCGCTTGGAAAGCGCGAGAAAATCCTCGGAAGGATCCTGGGATCTGCCTGGGAAGACAGGAAAGCCACCAGAGAGTCACACGAGAGCATAAACCAGCAGAAGGAGCGGTTAGATCTACTCCTAAATGGTTCAATCAGGCTGTTTTGCAACTCATGTTTGGATACGCTGCAAATCCAGAGATCTGGCTAAACGTCTCAGGCCCAATGATCCGACTGCCCTCTTGTGTTGAAAGGAAAAACAACAACAACAACAACAACACTTGTGTTTTACAAGCACAGATCCAGGGTTTCACACCTTTTCGTGTGGCTAACATTGTCAGGTCTGCCCGGTTCGGCTTGGCGCCTCGCGGGCATCCTGCCATCAAAGGCTAGAAGAAGGGGGGGGGGAGAGGGAGGATAGATGGGCAATAGCCCTTAGACTTATATACCACTTCCTAGTGCTTTACAGCCCTCTCTAAGCGGTTTACACAGTCAGCAAATTGCCCCCAACAATCTGGGTCCTCGTTTTACCCACCTGGAAAAGATGGCAGGCCGAGTCGACCGTGGGCTGGTGAGAATCGAACCGCCAAACTGCAGGCAGCCGGCAGTCAGCAGAAGTAGCCCGCAGTACTGCATTCTAACCAGTGCGCCACCACGCCTCAAAAAAGTTGTGTGTGCACGTGATGGGAAATAGGGAGGGGGGGGAATGACAGGTGATAAAGACCAGAGCTGCCGGATCCAGTTGGTACCAGCATCCAAGGACAGGCATCCTGAGAAAGAATGGGGGTCACCCCAAAACATCTCAGCCTTCTCAAAACGCTTTGGCGGGTTCCGATTGGCTGAAGACGGACTGGTCACAGGGGAAGGGAGGGCTGTGATGTGGGGGGGGAAACCTTTCTGTATCTTTGGAGTGCGGGAAACCCAGAGCTCGCCTGACTTTACTACAGGTGACCTCTTTTAGTAAAAGAATCTTTCGCTTCAACCCAGTGGAGTCGAGGGTCTCTCTTTCCTAAGGGACGAGATTGGGGCAGGTCTGACAAATAGGATTTCACCATTGAAACACAGAACGCTACCCTGAAGACCTTGCAGATCCCACAGAGGTTATTAAGGTTATCAGCAATTTTCCTGAAAATTATCCAAGATCATGGCAGTGAACTAGCTTAGTTGTCTAGTTTAACGAAGAGAAGGACGAGGGGGGACATGATAGCAGTGTTCCAATATCTCAGGGGCTGCCCCAGAGAAGAGGGAGTCAAGCTGTTCTCCAAAGCGCCTGAAGGCAGGACAAGAAGCAACACTAATCAAGGAGAGAAGCAACCTGGAACTAAGGAGAAACTTCCTGACAGTGAGAACAATTAACCAGTGGAACAACTTGCCTCCAGAAGCGGTGAATGCTCCAACACTGGAAGTTTTTAAGAAGAGACTGGACAGCCATTTGTCTGAAATGGTATAGGGTTTCCTGCCTGAGCAGGGGATTGGACTAGATGACCTCCAAGGTCCCTTCCAACTTTATTATTATTATTATTATTATTATTATTATTATTATTATTATTATTATTATTATTATTATTA